CCTATCATGCATTGCATCACTAAGTTATCCCATAATTTTTTCAATAATATGTCATCAATTACACAACTATCCCAATACTAGGCAAAGCACCCATAAATGCCACCAGAATAAATAATAGAATTCCGAAACATGTTTTTTATATACAATTTGCAAATTTAGATGATTCTTTGTGAGGTGCTCAGTGGATCTCCTCTCTCTACGAAATAATTGTAAAGATATAATAGTTCAGTTTTTTAAAACAGATAGTAAGGATCAAGACATATGAAAAAGTTGTATGTTAACTGAACGATGTATCACATTGAAAATAGTAATAGTAAAAAACACATTCCTTATACTTATTATCTTTCATCTCTTTATCTTAAAGAAATAACGACGACACGTGTCAAGGCTAAGAATTATCGCCAGACGAGAGTGAAAATCAGTTAGCTACCATTTTGCAAATCATGTTCATAAGAGTCTGTTGCGCTCTCGCGAAATATGATGCAATAAATTCTTCTTCTTCTCCTCCATACTTCTTGTACTTCTCGTCTTCTCCTATTCTACTCCTCATTCTTCTTATCCTTCTCCTACTTCTTTTTTCTTCGTCTAAAGCCTTCCTCAATATTCAAGTTCGCGGTTCTGACATTTGCTTATTCTGTTTTTTCCACAGAATGATAATTTAGATATGTAGGTACTACATTAATCCCGACGCTGAAAGGCCCAAAGGGAAAGAAGAAGGTACTACATTGCATTTGAGGTTGCTTAGTAGGGACTTTCCCTACGACGCTACGAGCTTAGAGCTTGTCCCACTGGGGTGCTCCCCCTGGTGGGAAAGACCTGGATGAGGGAAATCTCGCTATCCGACGGTAGGTCGGCGCCGAATCTTGCCATCCAGCGGGGAAGACCACTGCCACCTCCAAACATGCAAAAACGTGCACTACACTTACGGAACGAATGACCTCGTTAGTTGAAGCGCCCGGAAACACAAACAAACAACCACGATCACATTGAAATGAGACACATCTAAGTTTAAAGAAAAAAGTAGTAATTTTCGAGAAACTCTTGTTCTTAAAATTGCAGTTAAATGTAAAAGTTAAACTTGTGCATTAAAAAAATTCAGATATCAGAACTACAACAAAGTATTCACAGAAGAGAAGAAACTGGTGGGATGTAACGCCAACAAATGTTCTCCAGCAAACTGCCCTGCAAGTACTCGCTTTTGTCCAGCTAGTTATACGCCATCATCGCACTAGGCTACATTCTAGAAGACTGCGAACGCAAATTTCTAATAGTAACACTCTCCAAATTGGCTCTGTCGGCGATTGGAAATGCCTTTTACTTTGGAAATCCGTTAGCTTTAGACATTGTTAGTATGATAATGAACCCTAATATTAAAGATAAAGAGATAGCTTTTAGATGGATCCCGGCTCATGTGGGTTTCATCGAGAATGAGCTGGCAGACAGAAAGAGCAAAAGGCAGGCAAAAGAGATGTCACAACTTAATGAAAGAAGCAACGTTCCCGTAATACCACAGGACTATCACGCCAGCATCAAGAGAAAACTACAAGAATTGGATAGACAGGAATGGAACAATAACGCTCGCTGCAAATTAAGAAGTATATGTGAATACATGATCCAGCCCCATGCTTCTGCAGAGCTGACCAGGTTCTGTTAACTGGATGCAGTATAGGTCACATCAGGCTCACAAATGCCCACCTTATCACCGGGAAAAATGCTGTTATGTGTAATTTGTGTAATGTTTCTCTATATATTAATCATTTATTTCTGTGTCCCAGGTTTGAGGCCGACCGAACGAGGCATGATGTCAATAACGACATAGCAAAAGTTCTAAAGGACAAAGAACAAGGCAGTCGGTTTCTCAATGTTTTGAAGGGCATAAACTTATACAGTGGTATATTAAAAAAATGTATAAACTGGTTAATATTGTGATAAAAATGTTCCCTCCCAACGTGTCATAACACTCCATGTACAATAATAGTGATATTGTGTACATGTCACCAACAACCGTTTGTAGTTGATGCGACATAAAATAAAGTGAAAAAGTTTAGTGTGCATTCGTACTTTGCTCTATCTGAGAAAAAAACATTAATCTAAACATTTGGAGGCATTTGTGAAGTTTTTTAAATGTTCTTGAAGCTTAAAGTATCACCAAAATTAAAATACCCATTTTAAACTTACTTGGTCTTATGTTCCTTTCAATCTATCGAGGAATAACAATTTTGGGGGAAATCGCCAGGCGCTACCGTTGACACGTACATGGCCTGGCAAACGAACAGAAAGATGCTTGGCGAAAACCAATTTGTTGGCATCAATGACTCACTTACCGTGAATATTGACTAAAGAACAGGTTAGAAGAAGTAATTGACTACACATTGGGACCAGATTTATCCACTTTCGTGAGAACAGGATCTCATTAGAGGAGATTTTCTGACAAAAATGGCCTGATTTCGCCGCTGTATATTACAATATTTTTCTTTTAGTATGTAAGTATTGTAATAAAAGACAAAATAAAACTCCATTCTTGAACACATGACAATTAATATTTTGGCTGTGTTCATATCCCAGTCTCAGTGCATTTGTAAATGATGTATGTGATATGTAAAACATTTTCAATTTTTGGTTTCAACTCACTCAGAAACGCATGTCAATTGAAACATTTTTTGCAATTTTTCGAGACACATTTTTTGAAGCTCCGTGTTTTCTTCCTTTTCAGCATGAGCCCCAAGTGCATGATTAGTCTGCTTATGAATTCGATCCCTAAATGTGACAGTAACTTCGATCATTTCATCAAACTTCACAATCGTTCATTTTTCTACTTGAATATTCTAAACAAACTCACAGTTTGAAGGTAGTGAAGTTTTATTGACCATTTGACCTATAAAAAGGCTATTATCTGTTTTTAAAAGTTTTAACATTCCGTGTATTCTTTAGAATCACTTACCTCACACGTAAGCAGTATCTAATTCATGAAAGGAAAGAAGCAATATCATTTTTTTAAGTATTAGTGTCATAATCAAGCTTCTTTAAATGAAGAACGATCAATTACGAAAAATTACGTTGACTTGCATGGCTTTGTAAAACTAGTGCTGCGAAAACAGCACGTACTTTCTCGCCCGAATTTTCACGCAACGTTACATAAAGTACTAAAATTTTCGAAAAAGTGTACCTGACCTTATTTCAAAATATATCTTTAAACAACATATTTCATTAAGCAAAAAGCTCTATCTTCATAATTTTAATTGTTGGAAAACACCAAAAAGTTAGGAACATAAGCGATTTTCGAAAAATACGGATATTTAACAAACTCTTAAACATCCTTCACACTATCCAATAAAAAAAATTTAATTAAAAAGTTGGTGTCATTGTTTTGAAAATTTTGAAAATGTCCCATGGGCTTCATGTAACACCTAAATGTAAAATATCGGTTTCAATTTCCAGGGACCGCCACATCAATTGGGGAATATCAATTTTAGAAAAAGCGTTAACGTTGTTCGCAGACGTTTTGGCGGCAATCGACTTTTCCATATTAAGCACCCACGAGGCATGGATTCTGGCTGTACCGCGTCTTAGAGGTTTTTTTTTAATTTAGCAACTGGATTCATCCACTTTTTTGTTATTAGGACTCGCCAATAATTTTTTCTTGCGAAAATTCGCCGTATTTAGTGAAGCATTACCCAATTTTCTCTCTACTGCATAGCGAGAAAGTAAATTAGTGGTTCTACAGAATGTCACATACTTTCTCGTATTAGTTTTCTATTTTCCTTGGTTTGGGCTAGCTATTCTGACTTGCCCCACCCTCTTGCCAGCTGCCATATATCCTCTCCCAAAGAACATTTTCTAAAATTTTTTCAATTTTTCGATGTTCTAATAGTATAACTGAATTATTACTTTAATAATATTAAAGAAAAGTTGGTTCTAAATTGCTATCTTTATTGCAAAATTTGAAGTCATTTTGAAGAAAATGGCGTTTAAGAGTTACTGTCAATGCAAAATTTGAAGTTCTTTTTCAAAGTAAATTTTTGAGTTTTCGAAAAATTTCATTTGAAGTCATTTACAGCACTATTACTCAAGCTACAAATGCTGTAGTGTTTACAAATTGCTGGAAATATGCATATTAACTGTGTGAAAGTTATTCAAAAAATTGCATTTATGTAATTTTTGAAAAAACAAAAGAATACCCCAAAATGAACATTATGGTATATTAAATTAGTGTAATTAGCGCCATCGGTTGGGAAGTTAGAATAAAATTTGAAGCCATTTTTGTGAAATAGGTTTGAGTGTTTCTGAAAATGCGATACTTTGAACTCATTTTCGCAGAAAACTGTTGTGTTTTTGAGAAACTTTATATAATATCATTTAATGCACATCTATTCGTAAATGCAATAATGTGAAGAAATCGCCACTAACGTAAATATATCAGAGGCTAGTAAAAAGAATTACATTATTGTGACTTTTAAAAAACAAAAGAATAGAGCAATATGGCGTTTATATCATCTTATAGAGTACATTTAGTGCTATCTCTACCAAAAGTTTAAAGAAGAAATTTGGAGCAGTTTTTGAGAGATTCTTGTTTTTGTTATTTTTAAAGTTTGGGCTCGGAGCAATGCTGAAACGTATCCTCCCTAAAAAAATAAAAGTGCGAAATTTGTATCAAGAAACTATGAGTTATTTTATTTCAGCAATTAACAAAATTATAACGTTTAAGCCTAAAAAAGTTTTTGGAAATATATTTGATATAAGTTTTAAGTAAAGAAATTTAGTGATCAAATAAAACAACTTCCACGGTGAGCTTCAAACACTAAAACTTTTTGTTGTGTTTAGTGTTTAATACAATCACTTGTGTAATACTTGAAATAATAATATTCATTTCAGTAGAACTTATTTTAGTTTTGGCGTCATTTTATTCATATTAATAAACTTCTACCTAATAAGAAATGATTGTAATGAGGTTTATAATGCAAAATATAATTGAAAATGTTATGAAGTATCAGAGTACTGTACCGTGACTTATAAATTACGATAACAATTTTCTCGAGTTCTAATTTCTTTTTCAATTTTTTTTATTATTTTTGTTCCATCAATCCCACATGGAGCCCTTGACTTGCGGGTCCCAGGGTGATCGCCTAATCTGCATCATGAAGTACAAATACGTGTACTTCTCTATGGTCTGCCCATTCCTAGCCCCAGCATTGCTCTGATTATGTCTCATTATTATTCATGTCATATATTCACAATCACCAGTACATAAAGATCATCCATACTTACATTCATTCATTTCACATACGACCATAAAGCTTAGATTCTTGCATTCTAATGTACATGTGTACCTTAAATTAAATGTGTGTTCACGATAATTACTTAAATGAAATGTACATTTGTTGCAAAGATTTCATGCAGAACTTTCGGACAGTGTGAGCAACAGTTAACTTCAATCCAGCTAGTATTTCAAATACAATGATAGATATGAGGAAAGTAATTTTGAGATTTTTAATCGAGCAAAACATTTTGGGCAAGACTAGGTCATTTAATAATTTCATCGCCGTTTTACGATTATTTTGTATTCACTTTAGGGTGTAATATTGGAGCAATTTTTCAATCATTTTATTCTCAGAAATAAATAATAACACAAAGGTTCAAGAATACTTTTTTTTTCAAAGATTTACATTATAAAACATAAATAGAACATTATCTTGGATAAAAGCACTTCTCACAAACATGTGCTAGCTTGTGTCTTACACAAATGTTTCATGCAGTAAAAAAGAGAGTTGGTACTTCAGAATTCAATGTTGAAAGGATAATACTTGTGTTCCTTTGCACTGTAAAAGAAAATAACTTTTGTTTAGTAAAGTTCTTCTCGTAAAGTAATAATGAACGAATGTTAAGATGTATTCTACCTTTAAACGTAACTTTTAGTACACAATATATAATGAGTGGTTATTACTATCCCTAGCTACAAGAAAATAAATTGCTTCAGAAAGCATTGTCAAATCCCTTAAACATATTGTGTTAACATTATAATATATATTTTATTTTACTTGTGGAATACTTGTTTCCCAAAATACATGATTTACACATCAAATACAAAATCATAAATTTTTGAATACTAATTACAAATCCTTGAATATGTAAATAATGAAGACCCACACAAGACGACGAATGTTGATAAGAAAATACAATATATGTTCTTATTTATTTCAAAGATGTATCAATTATTTGCATTTTTGTAATTCTATATTGCAAGACATACGTTTACGCCAAAAGGATCTAATGAGTAGATGCTGGCGATAATGAACATGAGGTAAATAATAATGAAAAAGTGGAGACGTTAAAGGCAGGAGAAACGGGAGAACCGCAAGAAAACTTGCCGAGATCACTGAGATTTTCACCACAAATTCAACAGGAGATCGGAGATGAAATCAGAGCCCCATCGAAGGAAAATGAGACATTAGGCATTATTCCATGTGCCCTATTATTGTTTTTTAAACAAAATCTCTACATTAGTAGTAATTTTTCCATTATCAACTAGACATTTAATGTAGTTAACTTAATTTAAACATTTTAAGACGTTATATTTAAGGAATCTGGTAAAATACTCACTTCGAAACAGGACAGACGCGACCGTTGCAATCAAAGGAATCGATATATTTCACATCGTCAGCAGACAACTCGAAATCGAAGATTTCGATATTCTGCACAATGCGAGATTTCGTCACAGATTTTGGAATGGTGATAAGCCCTCGTTGTATCTAGAATGTATAAAACGACAGCATTATTTCCACTCACTCAGTCGAATATGACAAAAGAGATTATGATATTTAATTGAAAGTATTCCATAAAGAACAATTCTGTACGTAATATAGGAAATACCTTCTTATTGTATCATTAGAACAAAAATTTGGTTGATAATTAATTCATTCCACTTCCTTACATATTGTAAAAAGTACATCTTAATGATGGACAACGTTAAGTTTGTTAAGTGGTAGAACTTACTTCGTATCTCAACAGGATTTGAGCGGGTGACTTGTTGTACTTCTGGGCCACTTGCTTGAGTTTAGGGTCATCCATGAGTTGTGGATCTCCCGGTTTGGCCCATGGGCGATCGGGGGAACCAAGTGGGCTGTATGCCGTCACTACAATGTCCTTGCTCTTGCAGAAGTCGATCAGTTTCCTCTGGTTCAGGTAGGGATGCACCTCGACCTGAACATGGGTGTTTCTAATTAATCGGGGAAAGATTGTGAGAAAGTATTAGAAGCAATGTTGCACGCAAAAACGTGTTACGATTAATATATTTTCCCCGTTACTTACCACATGATTCTCAACAGCTACTTGTATGTTAAGAAATAAAAGAGTAGTTTCCAAAAATTAGGTTCTGGTCTTTATAAAAAATAATCGTTTTTGCTCAGAAATGTAATTTTTAATTATTAGGGAATGTAGTGCTTTAGTTTGGAACATTTTTTGTAAAACATTCTAAAGTTACACACCTGGTTGGTGACGGGTTTGATCTCTGCCGACTCCAGGAGGCGGTTGATCTGCTCGTGGTTGAAGTTGGAGATGCCAATCGACTTGGTCAGTCCCTTCTTCACGAGTTGCTCCATGGCCTTCCACGTGTCAACGTAGTCCACGTCACTGAACTCAGTCTTGCCGTCCTTCTCCGGGAACAAGGCACCTCCTTCCTGCGCAGAAAACGGAAACACATTTGATATCAGTTTTTTGAGGAAACGTTTGTACTTAATGTCTGTAGTTATTGATTAAAAGGAATAGCATGTAATGAATTGAAGATAATAATGAAGGTTTTTATTTTCATGAACAAATAGCAAATATCGTATAATTTCCAATGTCTATAAAATTATTTTATTACAATAATAAAAATATTTTTTAAGAACTATTCTTTACCATACATTTTTTTTGCCTTGGGAATGAAGAAATAAAAAATGTGAATATAGTAAGATTTTTAAGAAACCTATTCTTCTTTACTGTCCGAGTACTGAGTACACTGTTACATCTGTATTAAGTATATGTTTTTTATTAATTCAAGTCAATTATTAAATAAAAAAATGAAAGAGAAATACATTACATCTTTCAGGGTTAAAAATTCATTGAGTAAAAAATTCTTACCTTGAATCCATGTGGCCAGTGAATCAAATACAGGTCCAACTGTTCCAATCCTAAGTTCTTTAGTGTGGTCTTAATGGCAGGTTCTACGAGATCGGGTCGGTGGAAAGTATTCCACAACTGAAAGTATTGTCAGGCATTGTAATTAATATTAAGATAAACTGACGGATTGGATTAGCACACAGGAAATATTAACACTTTTTTCCTTACAATAGGTTTTTGAAAGGACTCCCGTAAGTAGTATAATGTTATTTTTCATGACTAAAATCCTCGTGTATGTATTCATTTTTCTCTTTTTAATAGGTATTGCAGACGAAAAAAATAGTTGCATTGTATAACCAAGGGTGGTTATACGAGTACAATGCAACTATTATTAAGTCTGCGATTCACTGTTATTAAAAGAAGCTCAGATTTCAATATCATGAACATTTTAGAAATTATTGGGTGTTTCTGCAGTTGATGGGACGGTATTGTGAGCTCACAGACACATATAAATATAAAAATATTTATCCCATAAATACACGATCTCAAACAATCTTGTTAGCAATACGGAAAGATTAATCCTTCTAACATGCATATTTACCTTGCTAGTGATGTACAAATCCTCTCGCTTAACGACCCCTTCCGAAATCTTTGCCTTAATGGCAGCGCCGACTTCGGCTTCGTTGCCGTAAACATGAGCACAGTCGATGTGACGGTAACCAGCATCGATTGCGTCTTTCACAGCCTGCGTCACTTCGCCGGGCTTCGACTAAACATAAACATCACATAATTCCAATATTAAGTTACTATTACTACGGAAAATGTTTTATTTGTGCAAACATGTCAACATTCCGCTCTCGTGGTTGCACCACTTAACTAAACAAGTACAATTTAAAATAGTGAGCGCAGGAAAAAAATACGCAATACGATTTATTAGTAATATTATTATTACTATATTGCTTCACTGACTTGTGTGGAGATTATGAGAAATACATTTGATGAAAGGTAAAAGAACATTTACGTACTTTCCATGTGCCGAGTCCAAAAATCGGAAACTGCTGACCGTTGTTGAACTTAACAAACGGTATATTTGGAGCCATTGCGATGAAGTGATCCACAAAACTTGACGGCGCTAGTGAACAAGTGAATCGTTACTGAGGGACGGCCTTGGGAGTCGTCGAGTTTTGTAGGCGGCGGCTTGGCACTAGTTGGCAGAGGTTCTGGGGCGATAGGAGTGGCCAATCATTGTGTGTAGTGATAAAGAGGCATGATAACGAGAAAACATCTTTCGCAGATACGTGAAAATTTAGTAGATGCAATCATCAGACAAACGATTTGTCAATTGTCTGGTTTTGTTCTAATGATCTACTGATAGAGTATATGAAAAACATTCAGTTGGGGATTTGATGATAGTTAAGTATTAGAGAGAACAATAGGAACCGTGGCGTGGTTATTTATTTTAAGATACGTAGGTATATTGGATCCAGTTAATTTCATTTTGTTATTCCAAAGGTTGAATAATATGTAGATTACATCGCAGACTGACAAGCATATTTCGACCTTAAAATGAAATTTTTTAACACTTCAAATGAAGTTTGCGTGTTGCTTGCCACGAATTATCTTGTGACCCTCGTATGCTTCCTGACTCGTATCTCATGCCACTTTTTTGTTGTATTTTTAGTCATTGACGCAACTCCTTTTACATAATGTCACATTTTCTTAATTTTTAACACGCTGCGGCTTTCAATAATGCGAACGATAGTTAAGAATTTTCGTCAGAACTACATTTTGCAACTATATTAGATATTTTGGAATTATTGGTGATGCTTTACACTTGCTCTTTCATCCTTGCTTAGCAGAAAACGATGATATTCATGACCTTAAAGTATCAGAATAATCTAATGCGGAAGAGACACATAAAACCTGCAAGTGAAAGTAGATTCCAGTTTTTAAAAATAACTCTACATCAAATGTTAATGTAAATTCAACGTTGATACTTTTGTCCTTATTTTATCAATGTTTATAGATCAATTTCGTCAATGTACATTTGAAGTGTTTTCTGAAATATTATTGACCATTTTTTAATCTATACTTTTACTGCTTCGAAACAAAGGTAAAAATCATCACTTTAATTTAAATACCGGGATTGGAACCATGGGCTAAGGCGATATGCCTGTCTCCGTGTCTGCAGTTTCATTAATTACAATCACTGGTCCATACTTCATGAGAACTATTGGTGGATAAATAATCAATACTCTAATTGAACCCCTGCGATTACATTGCGCAAAATAAAGTTACAATAGAAAAGTACATTATATCCACTATAAATAAAATTGAAAATCTCAAACTATTGCTCCATGACTTTCAGTATTTATTCTCCAAGGTTAATGACATTTACATGCTCTCTCCAATCTTTGCATTTAAAAACCCTCATTCTTCGAATTTAAAAAGCTCCCTATCGCTAAGTATAACATCATGACACGTTGAATGCTTTTAAGATATAAGTTGCAACTCTCACAAATGTAGCGACCAAGAACATCTACATTCCAAATACTCTAATGAGGTAGCAATTTATGTTTCATGACAAGGATGGTGCCAATTATTTAAAGCTAGATTTACAATTATTATATATCATTTCTAGTATATCATTTTTCATTATATTATTCATGTAATATTTACGTAGAAATTAATATATCATTAATGTTAAAATTTGTAAAATATTTGGTCCAGTGTCTTCGTTGTGCTCTTTTTGAAGTTTCTGAAGATCTAAAAATGTACTACCCCCCAAAATTTTCTGATCACACTTGTTGCCACTTGCTGCGTAAGACTTGCTGGCCTTGATTTGGCGCTCGACCGCGCCACACCCCTAGCGCCTCCGCCTCTCATCGCCGGGCTCTTGACCGCGCGCGGCAGACGGCGCCTCCGCCCGCGCGCTATCTCTCGATAACTGCCAAGGTCGCGCCCCGCCCCCTCGCCCGCCCTCGCGCCAGTCCAGGCGCGTCCGCGCCCCTTACTGGCCCCACGCCCTATACCTGCCCCGACGCCCCGCCAACGCCCTGCCCACGTTCGCCAGGGCCCCGCCCTCGCCCTCTACGCACCACGCCTACCGCCGCCGTTCCTGGCGTTGCCCGGCACGGCGCCGCCCCCGCGTCCGCGACCAATTGCCTGCCACCTGCCCGCGGCTCAGCACCTCTTTACTCACAGTTCTTAGCTGGCACGCACATTCCCGATAGATGCCATGTCAGGAAATGCAACATACATCAGTAAGACCCACGTGTTTTTATACTCTTGTAAGTGCGTTTCCTACAGGAAGTATTTAGAAAGAAGAAATTAAGTATTTATAATTTTTATTATTTCCTTAATCGCTTCAGAAACTAGTACTCATGCACAAGCACTAAAAGTCATCAAATTAAAGCTAATCTAAACAATAAACGAACCTATAACAATATTGTGTGTGACATGTAAAAGTGAACAATTAATCGATTAACATTTGATTGTATTAGAAGTTAGCACGGAGTGAAGAAAATGAAATGAAAGAGGTACTATTTAATTTTCTATACATTTCACCTAGGTAGAGAGATAATTTTCACACTTACATCTGCGTTAATGTAATGATGTTGTTCACAGGTATTTTAATGCAACAGTTGTTTACATTTACCCTTAAATGATCAAAATTCAGTACTCCTATTGTATAATTCTCTCATTTGATGGCTACAATCCTTTACATAATGATAATGATTATGATACAGATTTCATTGTGATACAGGTTCTTGACCAGTCGCAGAGAAGTTTACAAACCAAGTATTGACACTTATTGATTGAGAATTATTCTAGAAAATGTTTCGTTCGATTGTGTACATTAAAATTGCATTTAATTGTATATTACGCTTGTCAGTTTTAATTTCTTTTATTAGTAGTAATTTTTAAGTGAAATATTGATAAAATAATTTGAATTGTAATTTCACTTTCATCCTATTTGACTAGCGCAGTGTTAGTAGTAGAAGGAAATTTGTCTGACGTTAAGATGAGAACGCAAGTAAGTTTGTGTTACATGTTGCTGCCGTGTGGTTGCCCTTAAAACCTTCTAATTCTTTAGTTTAAAATGTCTAGTGAAACAGGTTAATTTGGCTCCTCCAGAAATGAGAGAAAATGGTGACCTCGGAATTATTACCGCACATTTTCTACTATCTTTGCAGGCAGAGTTGTAAACTAAAACCACCTGCGGCAGGATAGGGTAGCTGTCTTTCACATGTTCTTGGCTGAATACTGCATGTCAACTGCCACGAAACATTTCAAAGTAAAAGTTGAACTTATAAAAGTTACCATAAGTCGTAGAAAAAGTACCGTATGAAACTCGATGTAATGGGTATTAACGCAGACGCGTGAAGTTTACGTTTACGGATAAGCGTGCGTTCCCCGCTCGTATGATAATATCAGATTCGTGCATCCCATCGTTATATCATCGTTTCATAATGTACTGTTATGGTACAATGGAAAAATAATGTACGTATATTTAAACCTTCCAATCATAAAGTGAGAATTCATACGAAAATGATGAAGCGAGATACAAAGACTAGGAAATTGTGAAGGTTGCAGCTGCTGTGATGTGTTTTTCCTCACAATACGAGTAGAAAGACGATTTCGCTTGTCGGCTATTAAAACTGCATTACATTCCACCACCTGCATATTGCACAAGTCTATTACTTGAAATCAATCATAGGATGAAACATTTACGTAACACATGTTATGTTTATATAAGAATTTATAATGAATATCACCTGTTATCTTAATTTTCGTGATTTTTCTGCGAGTTCTTATCTTACTTTTTAGAGGCACAACATAAGATAACCCCTGAGTGTTTTCTTACATCATGTAACATAAGAATTGGAACCACAGAACGTAATTCTATTTGGCAGAGTTTATATATCTCTCGTTGAATAAATAATCTGAAGCAGTGAATGCATAAATTGTTTTAAAAATATGAAAACGGTCCATAAATCAGGAATGAAGCACGAACATCAATAGCGACTATGTAGAAAATAGTATTTAGTCTTCATTTGATACTATGTCGACAAAGCCGTATTACGTCCCTGAGTACCAGCTAGTTTTCAATATTAATTTTAATTTTGATAATTAAAATCATAATATACATTTTTAATTTGCAAGCGAATTTAAATAAGTATAATCGGAATAAAAGTCAACGACTGAATTCCCAAGTTCTTGAGTATATTTGTAATGAATCTCGAAATTATTTATTGTTTTCAGAGTAAATGTTCTGACGCCTACAATAAAGAGTGAAAGAGAATTGTATTACTATTGTGTCTAAATTAATTTAACTTTAATTAAAATAAACAAAATTCTTTTAAATTTTTAACACAGTGCTACTAGAAACCTAAGACGAATGATAAAAATACGTCTTCTAATGAATAATAAAAAAACACTATTTAATGTAGTGTGGTTTATTGTTTTTTTACATTTGCATTTTTAGATGTGAATATTTTCTATCTACAGTTTCGTGAAAGGTAAGAAAAAATATATTTCACATTTATACACAGCAAATATACACTTTTAATTAAAAAGAGATGACATGGACGTCTTGAGATGGTCTTCATTGGAGTCACTGGACGATGTAAGCCCTTCTGCGTTCAAAAGTCAATGTTGAAGGGGTAGTGTGGATGATCCTGGACTCTGTTACAGAAAATAATATTGATATATACTGTTCTTACATTATACTGTACCATTGCATTATTCAACAACAACACATTGTAAATAAACATGAAATCAAACAATCTGAATTGAAATATATCCTCAAAAAGGATTAATGTACCCATTACTCAATTAACTAATAAAGCATTAAAAATATTATCATTTGAGTACTATCATAATGAGAGAACTATAGCAGACTATCCAGTGACGTATGCGTACAAAACAATTTTTTTGCACAGACCCATTATATTTCCGTGTATTATGGTCACTCCGAAACTATTTTCATTTTCAATATATTTTGGAACTTTCAAGCAAATATTACATTTTAGTCTTTTATATGTATAAAATTATAATTACATAGCAAAATATTAATTTTCAGGCATAATTTTCCGTATTACTTACTCATTAGAATGGCACACACGACCATTACAGTCGAAGGTATCAATGTATTTCATATCTTCAGACGCAAGTTCGAAATCAAAAATATTAATGTTTTCCACGATTCGAGATTTCGTCACTGATTTAGGAATAGTAATGAGTCCTCGTTGAACCTGTAAAAGACGTCCAAATTAATAAATATTATCCTTAAAATATTCACAAAACTATTTCTTCATTAAACGTTTTCTATTGCCTCGTAAGTTTACTAGATTGCTTTTCTAGAGAGACATAGTGACACTTTTAAAGAAAATAAATTTTATACTATTTTGCCTCATATGATTACAATTGCATTGTACACTAATAACAGTACATTTTAAGTCAATGTAAATAAAGTATTCTAAATATAAAAAATATAAACTAACGTGTACATTTTCTTTTTAGAGTGGATTGTTTAATTATATTACGAATACAACAATTTACAACTGTGTAAAGTTATTGCTGATGATCAGAACAATATGCAAACTGTATAAAAAACTAAACATTTAGAATATTATTAATTAAAATATCAGAAAAAAATAACAATCTTTATCCATTTTAAAGTAATGTATTTTACAGGGCAGCTAATTCCTTTAGTAAGCTGAGTGGTCTCTCTGCAATCTAGGAATTCTAGCTTCTAGAAATGGTTGTTGGGAGTAGACGTACCTCATACCGCAACAAGACCTGCGCAGTCGATTTGCCATATTTCGCTGCTACCTGCTTCAACTTGGGATCGTCTGTGAGCTTCGGGTCATCAGGCTTGGCCCAAGGACGGTCAGGGGAGCCGAGAGGACTGTACGCCGTTATTACTATGTCTTTGCTCTTGCAGAAATCAATCAGCTTCTGCTGGTTCAGGTATGGATGCACCTCAATCTACACGTAATATACACTTTATTGATTAATGACAAATATGATTAATCTGACATTTAAGAGGAGAACAATGAGAATGTAAATAAAAATATAAATACTTTATTTTAAATAATTGAATGATAAATTCGATTCAATGTAATAATTAAAATTAATTCAATTCATTTTGAGAAATAACTACACAATACTAAAATAGCTGTTACTTGTTGTTTCGTTTCTGATTTATTAGATGTATTAGCACAGGTGTATATTATAGTACCAACACATGGTGAGATGAAGGACCAAAGCAAAGTAAACTACCTGGTTTGTAACAGGCTTGATCTTAGCGACAGCCAAAATCCTCTCTACTTGTTTGTGGTTGAAGTTAGAGATGCCAATGGATTTGGTGTACCCCTTTTCCACCAGTTTTTCCATAGCTTTCCACGTGTCAACGTAATCCACGTCACTGTACAAGACTTTTCCGTCTTTCGTGGGTATAAGGTCACCACCTTCCTGTGAAATGAGGGTTGAAGCAGGGATAAATACTAATAATGCGACGCAGTTGATACCAATGCTAATAATTTTTTTAGATATACAAAGACAAACGGCTTTCATGACCACCAGTACCCAATCAAGCTACGGATTTACCTTGAACCCATGAGGCCAGTGAATCAGGTACAGGTCCAGCTGTTTCAATCCCAAGTTCTTTAATGTTGTTATCACAGAAGGCTCTACAAGGTCGGGACTGTGTGCATTATTCCACAGCTGAAATGATGAAATAAGAATATTCAATATGTAACATAACCCTCTAATCATGTCAAAGGCATACATGTATCCGAAAATGATGCCTATTTATATTATTTCAGTTAACTGATTCGAATAGTGTCGTTTTGACGTAAAATTTAGAGAAAATTTCTCTTTAATTTTCTTCAGAAAATAATTATAAGACGGGCTCAGATGACTTCAAAAAAAGTACTTTGAAATATCTACATTAAGTTCTCAAGTCTTCTAAATTATTCAGGCGACATTCGACTTCTTTTAACACGAAAGTAACAAGAATTGAAAGTACTGATCCTTGGAGAAATTAAATACGTCAACTGTATTACAAAGAAGAAGACCTTTCTTCTGAAAGTCGGCCGTCCTGATGCATATTTTTACTTTCTCCTTGTATACTGATACATGAATGATACTAAAAAGTAGTCCATCATTCTTATAGGAATATTTGCCACTAAAACCACGGCAGCGCATACCCTTATCGAGCATTTACGTATTTTCTTT